CTGTCCCGGCGCAGGGCGCACGCGGCCCCGCCAGCTGCAGCCGACGGTTGGGAGACTGTAATTTATCTCTGACATTCAGGACGCCGTGTTTCAAGGTTACTTTTCAGTCACAACGGAGGTGCCCACAGAATTTCGTAACTAAAACAAACAGGGCAGGAGGTGGGGTGGGAGTGAAGCGGGTGGAGAGAAAGGCATAAAGGAATCAATACGCAGCAGCGCATGGAATCCCTTCAGGAGGGTCTCTGTCCTCTCTGCTTTCCTGAGGGGTCTGTTTTGTAAGAATTGGAAACCCCAGCAACCATATACTACTCCCTTTTAATGTTCGCTCCGGCGTCTGGGTTCCAATGATCACCTGCCCTGGACCAGCCCCTAGACCCCAGTGAGCCCAGATTACAGGTGTTTCGATGTGGGCGCCCTTTCTTGGTTCTAAAAACCCATGTTGGACCTGAGGATCCCAGCCCCGAGACTTCCACTTCAAAGATAGAGGAAAAAACTAGAAAGTATGGGCACCTGGCTCACTTCTCCAAAGCTGTGGGTAAAGGTGGCAGAAGACAAGAGAGTTGGCAGGCAGGGGGATGGACACAGAGAAAGGATGGGCCTCGAGGTTCAGACTAGAAGGCAAGTGGGTGCAGGGCACTTCCAGCCCTTCCCTCCACCCCAGGTCTCTAGGCCGGCCCAGCATTGCTTTCAACCAAAGATGGAGCCAGTGGTAGCCTCCTCCTAGCTGAAACGCCAGGATGGGTCGCCTAATTGATGCTGAGGGCCTTAAGGAGCGCGCTGAGCGAGTTCCAAGGCAGGATCCCTGAAGCCATGCGGAGCGCTGAGGGCTCCCAGCAAGGGCAGTGTCTCCCGGGAGTATATGCACAGGTAGTGCAGGTGTGCAAAGGGGAGGCACGGGGACCAGATCACCAGCATCTATCACGGAGTTCCCAGGACTTGGAGAAGGGTACGCTCTGGCGCAGTTGCCTGTTCTTTAAAACTTTATGCGCAGGTCTCAGGCAGAAAGGTGCCGAGCGCGTGCACACACACACACACACACACACACACACACCACCTAAAGTCCCCTTCCACCTTCCTACTGGTGCTTCTCACAGTCCGTAGAAAAAGAAAAGAAAAAATAAAGGACGCCAAATAGGCAAACCCCACGAAACAAACAGACAGCTTCCTAGTGTGTATGAAGTTGAAAACCAAAAAGAATTCTCTGGTGTGCACATGTATATGACTGTCCACTCCTTTTCTCTTTTAGCTCCTGGTCTAAATATAGTTCTAGAAATTATCCCTGGAATAAAAGGAGCGACCGGGGCGGGGAGAGGAGGTCCACGGGAGGAAAGGAAGCTACCTTTTTAACAGAGCGAAGCTTACAAGTTCCCCCATCCTCCGTTGCGGGCATCGGTGGGCACCGGGAAGCGCTCCGCACCGACGTCCGCAGTGACAGCGCGCCCCCTGTCGGCCGCACGGCCCTTGACACCGACTAGAGCCCTCATTTACCCAGGCGCTCCTCACCCCTAAACCCGGGCGCCAGCCTCTCACCATCTCCCGGAACAAGCCTCCAGTGGGATGGATTTCTCTGGAGTCCCCTAAGTTCTGCGCAAACTGAAACCGGCCTCCTCCTGCCGCTGAAGGCTCCTCGAGTCGGGGACCCTCTCCTCGCTTGGCCTCAGGGGTGGGGTGGCCCGGCCTCCTTCAGGGCCAGCTGCTTCTCGCACTTGAAACGCTTCTGGCGGCGCAGGTAGCAGCCGTTCTCGAACATGTTGCCCGAGTCGGGGTGCAGGGTCCAGAAGGAGCCCTTGCCGGGCTTGTCGGGCGAGCGGGGCACCTTGAGGAAGCAGTCGTTGAAGGAGAGCGAGTGGCGGATGGAGTTCTGCCAGCGCTGCTGGTTCTGCCGGTAGAAGGGGAAGAGGTCCATGATCCACTGGTAGATCTCGCTCAGCGTCAGCATCTTGTTGGGGCTCTGCTGGATGGCCATGGTGATGAGCGAGATGTACGAGTAGGGCGGCTTGGCGTGCGTGTAGCTGCGCCGGTACGTCTTGGGGTCGCGCGCGCGGCTCAGGCCCGCCTGCCCGTACA